TCCATTGTGATACACGCTGACCATTTGAGGGATGATGAGATTGAAACATAATTTTTGATGTTTGTGTGTTTAACTGTGCTTTCTTTTCTGTAATTTATATTCTGGGGATGGAAATAAATAAATAAATAAATAAATAAATAAATAAATAAATAAATAAATAAATAAATAAAATAATAAATAATAAAATAAAAAAATATATATATTCATTCATTTTCTTGTCGGCTTAGTCCCTTTATTAATACGGGGTCGCCACAGCGGAATGAACCGCCATCTTATCCAGCAAGTTTTTACACAGCGGATGCCCTTCCAGCTGCAACCCATCTATGGGAAACTCATTCACACACCCACTCTCATACACTACGAAAAATTTAGCCTACCCAATTCACCTTTCCCGCATGTCTTTGGACTGTGAGGAAAACCGGAGCACCCGGAGGAAACCCACCCGAATGCAGGGAGAACATGCAAACTCCACAGAAACGCCAACTGAGCCAAGGCTCGAACCAGCGACCCAGCGAGCTTCTTGCTGTGAAGCGACAGCACTACCTACTGCGCCACTGCTTCACACACACACACACACACACACACACACACACACACACACACACACACACACACACACACACACACACACACACACACACACACACACACACACACACACACACACACACACACACACACACACACACACACACACACACACACACACACACACACACACACACACACACACACATAGGATATGAATATTATTGGAGTGTGTTTGGTCAGACTTCACTTTGACGGTCCGTTGGATTAATTTAAGTTACATTGCATCTATATGCCAACTAAATCTCATTAGATTAAAAGTAGACTGTATTTATATAATCGAAAAAAGCCTGCCAGTGTGACAAGCTCCATCTCCCCTTTTGCAACTGAATCTGGCATCTGTTTCATTCTGACAACAATACAACCATACAACAACTTATGTTAACCAGTCTAAAAAACAACAAATAATAATTTATAATAATCAGCAAATATTACCAATCTAATAATTTTAACGTCCCCTCTGACGTCTTTCTGTTTTGTTTTGAATACAAACATCCCAGCTTTACGAAATGAGTCATCTTCGGCGTCTTTATTACGCATAGACAAAAACAAAAAAATCAATGTGTAAGGTGGAGCAAAAGAGGGACCGAAGTGAGTGGTGTGTCAGTGGAGCAGATATAAAGTGATTGGACCGCGGGAAGTGAGTGTTCACTTGAATCTTAGTGCGGAGGACAGGTTCGCTTTTGGCTGTGAGTCTATGACCATGGAGAGTTCCAAAATCTGGTCGACAGCGATGGTTTGCGCTGTGCTGCTCTCCTGCATACAGGCTGCAGAAATGGACTTTGACAACGAATCTGACTTAGAAACGAGAGCTTTGAGAGAGTTTTACCCAAAGGACCCGAATCTGACCAACGAAAAGCAGCTCGTAAGTATTGCTTAATTCTCGGCGCATCGCAAAAACAAACGCTATTCCACTGTTATAGAGAATTTTAATTACTCTTAAATGCATTAACTGGCGTGAACGTGTTCACAGCTCGGGGCTTTACATGATGTGCTGGAGAAACTGCAGAGCAAACGGATCTCACTGTGGGAAAAGAAGTTTGGGCGCGTTCCTACAGTGAGTAGAACAAAACAGAGTCTTTAGGAGATTTTAGGCTTACAGATTGATTTCTAAAGAGTTAATTTCATATTTACAAAACCCTCACAATGAGTTTTTACCATTTATGATTTTCTTTCCACACCAGTGCGACGTCGGAGAGCAGTGCGCCATCAGGAAAGGATCGAGGATCGGGAAAATGTGCGACTGTCCACGTGGAGCGTTTTGCAATTACTTTTTGTTGAAGTGTTTGTAAAAAAAATAGATGGATTGGGAACTTGGAAACATGATATTACAGATATTTATACATTATGTGATTTCTATTTTTATGATTATGAAGTGCTATGATACTATCAGATGCATTTGAAGATTGTTTCGTTTAGTTCCTTGCTGCTCTTTATGTGTAGGCTATATCCTCAATAAATTGTGTGGACTTTTGGTTTTTAAGGAAGTTTCTGTGTTTTCTCGAGCATAATAAAGATTTGTTTGTCGTTTAATTAACGAATGAAAACTGTTCTGTATGCATGCTAAATTAATGACAAAACTTCACTTTTTAAGAACGGGTAAAGAAGTCAAATAGCCTAAATAAAAAATATTACATTTAAATAATAAAAAAGTAAAACGAATGTAAAGTATTGAAATTCTGAAATATTTTAGCTAAATGCGAAATAAATTCAATTGTTGCACTGAACAAAGAAATTCAGAAATTTTTAGTAAACTTCTCAAACAAAGAAACTGCAAGTAATAGAAATAAATGTCATTTTGAAGTATAAAAACAGAAATAAAGGAAATATTGTTTCTAGTATAGCTACAACGGATAACCTACTTCTAATAAAATATAAGACAACACTTTATTTTGATGGTCAATTTGAATATTAGTAGACTGTCTGCTTAATGTTCATACTGCTTCTTCAACAGACATTTAACTGACTAAGAAACTTTGCAAGTACATCTAAACTTACACTAACCTTAAACCAACCTAACAGTCCACTTTTAATCTAATGAGATTTAGTTGGCATATAGATGCAATGTAACTTAACTTAATCCAACGGACCGTCAAAGTGAAGTCTGACCAAACACACTCCAATAATATTCATAGCCTTTTAAATGCACATATTTCACATTTTAGGTTCTTTTTTGACGTGACAATTAACTGTACATTCGTATTGCTAAAACAGTGCAGCGATGCTGCGTACAAACAAGACAAAACTGCAAAAAACTACTGCAAAAAGGGCAGAAGTGCAAACAAATATGAATATAAAATATAATACAGATAAAACACAGATATAAATAAAAAAATAAAATAATAGATTATTAAAAAATATAAAAAGATTATGGAAGACAATATAAAGAAATGACGGTAGGCCTAATGAAATAAATATCAAAAGTGAGTCTACAAGTTATAGTTTCCCGGAGACAGTGAGGCGGGCCATTGTTGATTCCTCTGGCGGTGCCAGGACCGCACAAACTGAGCTGCTAACACAGTAGCACACGCATTCCCCCAGTAAGATGGGCAGCTTATCAATGTTTGACAGGGACTCAAAGTTGTTGTGTGGGCCTACACTTACAGTGTGGTTATGAAAAACAATGTAAAATTTGTTTACATACTAAAATTACAGGAGAAAACTGTCAAAGTTGTGCATTTTAATTTAAAAAATGATAATTATGCGTCTTTATATCCATTAATAGGCTACACAAATTGAGGTAGGCTAATTTATGTGTTCTTGTAATCACCTGTTTCCCATTGCAATTCTCTTCAGTTTTTCTTATACCTCATTAATTCAGCATGCATGATTTTAACAGCTTGGTCTAACGAATTATGATATAATTCTGTTTGGTAAAAAAAAAAAAAAAGCTGTGACTCATTGGAGAGATTGAGGAAAAGTGCATTACAGTTTGTCCCATGTAGCTCCGCCTGAGAGGATGAGTCTATCCTTCAGCCAAGCAGAAAAACACACGCCAATCAGAGGCGACACTCAAATGTGCGCCTTCACTGCTTGTTAAGGTCATTTATGTTTGTTAATATTTTACAGACATATAAAGATGGGAAATGCGTTTCATAAGCTCCATGCTGGCACTGAGAAAAGGGTCAAGCACATCTCAGTTTAAAAATAGTTACTGATGGGCCAAATTTTACACAACTCAGTCCCACCTTTGTGGCTCTTCGAGGCATTTCATATTCAGATATCGTAATGCTTTATAAATTGTTATTTAAAAGGTATTTATTAGATTGTGTAATTATGTTCTGGTTGCTGGAGAGGAAGCAAATTGGTTATGCGGTAAAAATGCGATGCAAAGTGAATCGTGATAAGTGATAAAGCTGTGGTTTGCTTTATAAAGCTGTGGTAAATCATCTGCTGTTTCATGTGATTAAAATATGACCACAGATGCTATTCAAACATCATCTTTCATGCTCAAATGCTTGATAGGAAAGATGTCCAAATAATTGATAAGAACAAAACATTTAGGCAAAATCTAATCTCTTTCATGTCTACAGACATGAGAAATGAGTTTTCGTGCCCCATGGAGGAGAATTGATTTGTCATTGAAGTAAACAACAATAATAATAAATTATTTTAAAACACAGCCACAAGCATGCATCTATCTATCTATCTATCTATCTATCTATCTATCTATCTATCTATCTATCTATCTATCTATCTATCTATCTATCTATCTATCTATCCATCCATCCATCCATCCATCCATCCATCCATCCATCCATCTCTGTCGGTCTACAGTGCTGAGCATAAAAACAGCCCTCACAAATCTTTCTTTCAAATTCCTATTTTTAATAGAAAGCAATATTATATTTGTGCATATACATTTAATTACTTAATTACTTAATACTTAAGCTAAATCTGGAGCTTATCTAACTGCATAATTTACTATAACGGTCCAAAACCTAGTACAGCCAAACTAATGTTTTAGAAAAATATTTAATACAAATTTTAAAAAGAGGAAAAACCAAAAAAAATTTTTGCAATATTTGCATGGATTTAATTGTATTATCTTTCAATTTTTAAATATGTACATTTTTAGAGATGGATGGGATTGATGAGGTTACAAAACAGACAGCTCAGAAAACTAAAGACTAAATAGAAAAATACTGAAACAAAAGTTTAAAACATCATCCATCTTTTTTTACTGTCATAAGATATGCAACCAAAAGATGGTAAATAATGAAATTAGTTTCAAATGGTTGCGCAATTATCTTTCCAACTAAAAATGCTGCAGTGGGCAGTAAAATATTTAGTCATATGCATGGCAAACTGAAAATTATTAAGCATCCATAAAATAATTAAGGCAACACTGTATTATGAAGTCAAGTTTCTAAATACAATTATTAAAAAAATAAACATGAACTAAAAATGAACATTTTATTTTACAGCCTTTATTAACCTTCTTAAAGCCTAGCATGTTGAAAAATCACACACATCTTTTAAAACTAATGTTACTGAACTCAAAACATTCTTAGTGTAGCTTGATAAAAGGGTAACTATTTACATTATGAGACCTGAAAAAACATTTATATAAATGACAGTTTATGTAGAAACTGCTATATAAATGGTTTACTTCTATCATGTTTTTGTTACTACTACTGTAAATGTCAGTGGCTGCATTTTCACCAATCTTCAGAATATCGTGGTTTGTGTTCAACAGAAGAAGTAATTCTCTAGTTTAGAACCACTTGAGTGTGGCCACTTCGAATGTTATTACTCCATGGCATTATCAGAGTATATCAGCTGATAGACATGGGCCAGTAGGGGCCTTCTGTGCCTACTGGTGGGCTCAAAAGACTGTTATTATCCATTCACATGGTTAATCAGCTATACTAATAGAGAAGACTCCAGATCCAGATCTGTTTTTACATTACTGTGGGTTAAGGTAGGGGTAGATGTTAATTAAATAATTAATAATTTCGGATATTTATTATATAATATCAATAATTCTCTTTAACTTCCAGCCACAGCCGTATGTAATCTATAGCCAATGTACCATGTGGATGAATGATAACAACCTTCTGAGCCTACCAGTAGGTGCAGAAGGCCCCTACTGGCCCGTATCTATCAGCTGATGACCACTGATAACCCCCATTCAATAAAGTGACAACATTCGAATTGGCTGGTGAGGAAAGGAAGTTTTCATGTTTGGGTGAACTACATCCATTAATGAAATTTATTGTGATGAAGATATGGTGAGCACCGAGCAGATTTTTAAAGATTTTTAACTTTAAAACCTCACTACAAAACAAAACCAAAACTGATGGATAAACAAAACATCATGTGTTCTGAAAGAAGAATATGATTGGACGCCATGTTAAAACTAATCCCTTTTTGAATATTAGTCTGAGATGTAGTAAACCAAACATTTAGACTTAATTGAAAGTTCTGCGTCAACATTTAACATTGCTTTGAAACAGATGGCAGTTTTTATTAGACTGACAAAAATCTGCCCAAAGGTCTACAAGAACAGCAAAGACTTAACCAAACCCTGTCACAATGTATGAACAAGAAAGTAATTATGACATGTATTAATAAATAAAACTATCCAATATGTTTAATCAAATCTCAAGCTGAAAATTAGGTCTCATTTAAACTGTTCTACTGTTACTGTATTGTAATGAAATGCATTATTATTCCTAACCATTAAAATTGTTACCGTTCATGAATCAATTCTTGTGAATATTATCGTCTTGAATAATGGACATGAACAAATCCAACCACTGTTAACTTCTGTAGCAATTCTGTATTAGCATTGTACAGTTTCAGTGTTTTAGAAATGAATCCAAACTTTCTTTAACTGATTAAAATATCAGCTTTTTCAACCACCAACATCTTTTAAGGTCAGACAAAACTACAGTTATGTTTAATAAGCTTTGATCTAAACCATCATAACTTCACAACCACAAGCCATTAACAAGATTCCAAACAACAGAGCAAACAGAGCCTTTTACAAGCTACAAAACTGACTGCCATTTAACCTTTTAATCGGTTCTTCTCCACAGCGCCATTCTGACTGATCACAACTGAAACAATTAAAGCTCTTTGGAAGTGCAGCGATGACTGTGCTCCACAAGACTGGGGCGAAACCAAGCTCTACTCGTCTTCCTGAAACGGGCAGCTGAGAGCTGGAGGGAAAGCTTGGCTTCTGGATTGTTCATCCAGCAGCACCAAATCATCCACGTCTCGCCCTCTGAACCTTCTGCGGCTAATTTTCACCGTCACTTTTTGCCCTTGAAATACTTTGAGCGCTTCCTTGGAGGCCATTGCCCTGGCAGCAGACTCGTCGCGCCCATAACCCGTCCCCATGTAGACAGTGCAGCAGCGCAGTTCACACACCTGGCCTTCTCTCTGTGTTCGTCCTGCTGGCAAGTCAGGAATGTCTTTAAGAGGAACAAACACACAGGTGAGACTGGCTTTGCAGGACTCCACGCAGCTGCGCAGGATCTCGAAGTGTTCCAGGTTGGGGCCAAAGCCACCAGCAGACACAAGCTTCCAGGCGACGGCCTTGTAGAGCCGATTAAAAAAGGGCTGGTGCTCTGCAGGAGCTCCTGGTGAAGGGCCGCATTTATGAGAACTGGTTGCTGGATGTACAACACACTTTGAGTGAGCTCTATCATCTGGTTCATTGGGTTTAGTTTTCTTGCCCTGGTAATCAGCATCAGCTGCTGCAAAATAGAAGAAAAAGGCTTCTGGTAAATAAAAGTGGAAATCATTCTGCATTTAACTGTTAACTGGGCCTCAATAAAATAAAAATATATAGGTTAAATCAGCCACATTAAAATTCTCTTAGAGCTGCACGATATTGGAAAAATGTACATTGCAATGTTTTTATTTTCTGCAATTTATATTGTGATATGTCACCAAATAACTTCAATAAATCCATTTGGAAATAACTAGCATCTTTTATATTGAATTTTTTTTTTTATATCGATAATTTTGTGAGCGACACGGTGGCACAGTGGATAGTGCTGTCACGTCACACCAAGAAGGTCACTGGTTCGAGCCCCAACTGGGTCAGTTGGCATGTTCTCCCTGTGTTGGTTTCCCTGGGGTAATCCGGTTTCCCCCACAGTCCAAACACATGCGCTACAGGTGAATTGGGTAAGCTAAATTGTCTGTAGTGTGTGTGTGAATGAGTATGTGTATGGGTGTTTCCCAGTGATGAGTTGCAGCTGGAAGGGCATCCGCTGCATAAAACATGTACTAGATAAGTTGGCGGTTCATTCCGCTGTGGCGACCCCAGATTAATAAAGGGACGAATGCCGAAAAGAAAATGAATGAATGAATGAATTAATGAATAATAATTTTGTAGGGAAGCATATCTTCAGAAAAAATATACTTATTATAGATAATACCAATGCTATATCATTACAATTTGTAACTTTTTGATTTGGCAGCTAATTAATTTGAAATCGCACAATCTTATTTGCACATTTCATATGACTGAACAGGTACAAATTTGTATTAACTAGCCACTAAGCTTACAAAATGCAAAACAGTTACGTTTCCTTGTAAGATCAGGCTGATAATACAGATAAATAAAGTAGAGGAACATTATAAGTAAAGTAGTCTAACAGTATTTAGGAACCGAAATAAAATAATTAAATGTACTATCAAATTGTTTAGTCTATAAATAACAAAATAAAATGAATAACTGTTAAAGCTACAAAATGTAATATTTCCTTGTGCCCAAATGCTTTTTAACTCGCATAAATTGCTTACACAGTCACAAGCCTTAAAATACATGAAACTGATAAACTTTCAATTTATTATGGCTAAACTGAACTTTTTTATGTGTTCTGAACTGTTTTATCTGGTTTGCCTCCAGAATTAAGTTTCTTTGCAAATAAATAGACAATAGACAATATAGCAATATATATTGTGATATGAATACAGTTTCAGAAGATAGTTGAATAGCTCTATAAGACAGCTTTTACGGGAGCCTAACAGTATTCACGTACAGAAATTAAATAATCACATGAATAACAGCTTTTCTTACTTTGCTTTGTTTAATTTCCAGTCCAAATATCTAAATATTCAAAAAAAATATTAGTGTGGTAAGTGAAATAATCTTGTTTTCGCTTTGAAATGTAGAAAACTGGACTAAAAACGAGACGTTTTTAAAAAAAAAAAAATTCTGTTTAAATACACTAATTAAATACAATTCGGTGGCTCCGTGTCAACTACAATTCAGATTTAACATTGCATATCTTGCGATGTGATTCTTGCAGATGTGTACATTGCAATATCGATGCTGAAACTATATATTGTGCAGCCCCACTTCAAACATAAAAACTGACTGGTGAACAGAGAGAGAGGTGGAACCATACTTGGCAGATTAATGAGAACAGGATGCAAGATTGAACCTCACTGAAGCTTGAGGCTTGTTTGAAATCTACAGGTAATGCCATGGTCACACTAGAGTTTGTGCATGCGAAATTCTGTTGTACGTCACTGTTAAAGGGGCAGAATAAAATAAGATTATTAGACATTAAAAAAAATGCGAGCGATTCATATGTTAACTTTCTATGCAGAGACATCATGTTTTGATCTTTAATTGGTCTCACACAATAATGTGATGCGATTTCGCAGGTCAGAGTTTACCAAGCTTGAACTTTCCAATGAAGTGAACTGCGAAACTTGTCGCACAAGCTTGCATTTCCGTTATGCCGCATTCGCATGCACTTGAATGGAAGCCTTTGGGGTGAAAAGTGCAGTGTGACCGCAGCTTCAGTGTGTTGGAACTAAACTGTGCAGGGCCCTATAGGAACTTAGTTCGACACCCCTGGCTTAAAGGGACAGTAACAGAAAAACTTTAATTCTTTCATCATTTGTTCACGCTCCACTTGTTCCAAACCTGTTTTTTCTTCAAGTAAAAAGACAAATGGAAGATAAAACAAAGAATGGTGGCAAAAAACAGCCATTGAATTCCATAGTATTTTTGGCTCCTACTATGGAAGTCAACAGCTGCTTTTTTCAACATCCAAGAGAAGAAATGTATTTAGAAAGTTTAGAACTATTTGAATGTGGGTAAAGGATTCATGTTCATTTTGGATGAACTGTCCCTTTGAGCAAATCATGCAAGTGACAAAATTAGCACACTAACATGAAGTACAATATACATCTTTCATTCTAAATCAACATTTAATTCTGCACATTTTAGTTTGTTATTAGATTTAAAGCCTTGTTTTCAAGAGCATGCATTTGAAGACATGCTGGAGACACTCCAGAATAGTGTAAGAGAAAAGCAAGTTACCACAGATTAAAACAGCAAAGCAGCCTTTTGATGCCTTAATCATTATTTACAGAAATGATCAGAAAGTATTTTAATCTCAAACTTTTATTTAGTAAATGTTATAACTCAATTTTACCAGCGTGGCTTCACTAATGTCAGTTTAAACCAACATGATTCATGCAACACAGTTCAGGAAATGTTTTGAAAAATGTTTCTCCAACAATGCATTAAACTCAATATATACAATATATATATATATATATATATATATATATATATATATATATATATATATATATATATATATATATATATATATATATATATATATATATACAGTTGAAGTCAGAATTATTAGCCCCCTGAATTATTAGACCGCTTATTTTCCCCTAATTTCTGTATAACAGAGAGATTGTTTTGTCAACATATTTCTAAACATAAGTTTTAATAACTCATTTCTAATAACGGATTTATTTCATCTTTGCCATGATGACAGTAAATAATATTTTACTTGATATTTTTCAAGACACTTCTATACAGCTTAAAGTGACATTTAATGGCTTAATTATGTTAATTAGGTTAACTAGGCAGGTTAGGGTATTTAGGCAAGTTATTGTATAAAAGTGGTTTGTTCTGTAGATTATCGAGAAAAAATATAGCTTAAAGGTTCTAATAATTGTCCATAAAATGGTGTTTAAATATTAAAAACTGCTTTTATTCTAGCTGAAAAAATATTATCAGACATACTGTGAAAATGTCCTTGCTCTGTTAAACATTATTTGGAAAATATTTTAAAAAATAAGAAATAAATTCAAAGGGGGCTAATGATTCTGACTTCAACTAAATATATATACACACATATATATATACACACATATATATATATATATACACACACATATATATATATATATATATATATATATATATATATATATATATATATATATATATTAATATAACATAATAACATATAACAATTCTCAATGGTTTTCATTTTATAAAATAAATCGTTGTTTAAGCTACAGACATAATAACAGACAATGCTGAAACAACATATTGAGCATTGTTCTATTTTAATTATGAATGCATTAAATTGATGAAAAACTGACAGTATTTTGTTTATTGTTACCAAGCAGTAAATCAATACAGTAAATTCTAATGTCCAACAAAAATATAAAGCAATTTTTCATATTGTTTTAATTAAGAGACATGACATATATTTAAATTATTTTTAAGCACCAGTTCTGTATATTAGAATAATTTCTGAAGCAGCACATATCTTTGACCACAAGTGTACATTAATATGATGTAACTAAAGATTTACCTGAAACTGCAGGTCTTTTTAGTTTTCCCATTATTTCATCTCTAGTCTTTCGCTCAGGAGCCTCGATCACGGTGATTCCTTCAGCCATCTCATTTATCTTGTCCATCACACGCTGCGGATATCTGAAGGGTCAAAACACATCAATCAAATTTCTAGAAACTTTTATTAAAAAATATGGAGACTATCAAGACTTTCAATGGCCAGATGTTTTCTAAATATTCCTTGTAAAATAATAATAAAACATTACGGTGAACTATATTTTACAGGAATTTCATTCATTTATAGTCAGTATGAAATCAGTTCTTTCTTGTTCGCATTTCCTAACTTATGACCCTCCCATAATAGAAAATAAATGTTTTATTTATATTATTGTATGCAAATATACAATGTACACCACTGTTTAGGCTTGCAGTTTTTCTTAATATTTTTGAAGGAAAACTCAGCAAGTTGCTCAACAAGGCTACATCAATTTGATCAAAAACACATCAAAAATATAAACTCCAGTGTTGCAAAACGTAATTTACATGCTGATAGGGTAAAAGCTCTTTTTCAGAAGATTTCAATTTACATTTCTTAGTTTTGTGCTGTTGTGCTGTCTAAAGTTATTGTGCAAGAAATGTATAATAATATAATGTAATATATCATATATGAAAAATATTCGAAGACTATAACGCCAAACAACATTTGGTTGAGTCTGAATTCTTTTGTAACGACCAAAACATCTTTACTAATAACCCAGCAAACAAATTTTGTTTAATAAATGTCTAATAGACATAAAATTTAAACAGCTTGGCTAAAAAAAGGCTAAATCTGGGTCAGCAAAAATCTAATAATCATCTAAGAATAGCCCAAAATAGCCATTATACAGACTTTTTTAAATCTGTAGTTATTAGTTCCTGTTTACTATTTGACGACTATACAGTCTGAATGGCGGCGCGGGAATGCAGGTATTGCGCAATTTTTCATTTCTGCAAATGTCGCGAGTGCTTTATTATAAAACGAGCGCAGTCATGTACGTTAATCGCTAAATGCGAATATGCTAGCTCTTGAATAAGCTTTTTCAAATGAACTGCAAGTCCTCTCATGATCTTGTCACCGCGTGTGTGCACTCAAACTATACAATCGCGATCTCTTAGAAGTAGAAATTATTTATCTTTGCTCTTTGACTAAACTTTAAAAAAACGTAAAAAACTATCAAGTATTTAGAATTAGATTGATGCATGACCGGTGACAATGCTAACGGATTTATTTGGCTGTATTGTAAAGTGAAACTTAGCCTACCAGTACTTTTAGCAAAGGTGGAAATTTTATTTCATACAAAAGAGTTGCTAAAAATGTTTGATTGAGGTATTATTGTGCAGGTACAGGTAAAAGCAATCTGTTACATTTATCAAAATAAACAACCTTAAAAAACTTTAAGAAATGTAGTGTTGTATTTCAAATACCTCAGGTGAAACGAAGTCATATATTTTATTAATTTACTACTGACAGTGTTCTTGTCTTTTTTCTAAAATTATTTAGTTTAAGATTAAGCCTAAAATAAAATTTTGTATAGACAACAATGAGCAAATAAGAAAAACTGTGTAAAATATGTAAATAAACCCCACATTTAAATATTTTCATCATATACTTTGATTAAACATTTCAAATCTTGAAAGTATTGTTTAAAAATGGACAAAAAGTGTCTCTATGGCCTTAAGAGTATGTGGTAGTTTTGCCAGTCCTATTAAAAATGATTCATTGTCATGAAAGGAAAAATCGACCATACTTTGTTAGTGCAAATTACTATGTGTAGCCTTGTGATTTAAGCAATTAAACCATTTAAATAATTTTATACTTAAAAGGGCCATGATGGAAAATCTTTTTTTTTCAAAAGTAATAAACTAGTACTCAGAGTAGTTTTTTTTAAAAGAGTAATTTGTAAAACATTAGTATTATTTACTAAAACGTGTATTATTTTTGCAGTGTAATTGTATTATAACATACAAGTATTATATATACAAGTATTCTGTTCTCTTTCCATCTGTGAAAGAACATCAACAAATAAAATAAAATATGCACAAGCACATTTAGTGCAGGTTTATTAGATTATTAATATATAATAAAAAGTGCTTAAAAATCCTTGATTTTCATTAGGCTGTGTCTGTGAACCCTGTATGTAATCAGTGTCACTTTTTAATCGTGAGGTGATGGTAAATTAAGTTATGGTCAATTGTCAGCTCTCTTGGTTGTGAGGTCGTGTGATGCATGTTGCTGAACTAAATTTTACTTAGCTACATTTTGAGATGTAACTGCAGTATGTCAATTTAGTTTATTTGTGTGTGCTGCGCTCATAGACTTTAGGAAACGGCGCTCATTTGTTTGATTTCTCCTCGAGAAGCTGCACAAGCCTAAAAAAAAGGGGGGGGGCAGCTTGCAAAAGGTTGAGTTTTAAGCTATTCTTAGATGTTGATTACTTTTTCCACTGACAGCCCAAATTTAGCCTTGTTTTAGCCAAGATCACTATATTTAATCATCTATTAGACATCTATAGGTCATCTTTTAGAAACAAAAACGCTTGCTGGGTATTTTGATCCATTCAGTTTAGCCTTGTTGAACCCAAACTTTATAGAACAGTATAGTGTAATCCAGTTCTAATTATTTAACAAACTTGACAACAAAAAAAAACTTGGATTTAGTGAGAATTTTAAATCAACAAGAACTACAACAACTGAAAAAATCCATAATAAACTGGCAATTACCGACAGCCTAAAAATACATGGTTGGCCCAAACCATGGATAGAGACAGCAGTCTGTCCAGACTAGAACTTGGACTCCCAGGTTGGATGGTAGGAAAAGCCTCCATATTCCGCAGCACAAACTCTCTCCTGGCATACCACTGTTTATTTGTCTCACAGTGTCCTCTTAAAGATTCCACCCAGCTCACCAAATGTGGATTCTGACTGAGGAACTCAGAGACAATGTCCTCTCCTCTTCTTGCCGCCATCACTGAAAACAAGGAAAACTATCAAAAGTTACTTGGAGAAGTTCATAATGTCCTACCAAGCAGCTTCAAGCATGAGGATTGTAAATCTGTGCTTTGGCCAGCAACAGGCAAACAAACAGTTCAATTGTGGTTGGTAAGACTGCAGACTAGACACATAACACATATACAACAGAATGTTTATAAATATATAATAAAATAAAATAATATATATATATATATATATGTGTGTGTGTGTGTGTGTGTGTGTGTGTACACACACACACACACACACAAATATATGAATGTATATCAGCGTACTCAGTGTTTAGTTTAATATAGTTTTAAGCTTGTTTACATTTTATAGTTCATTAAATATTAATATTAATACCCAACGCATTGTATAAGTGCCTTAAAATTACGATTTTGCGCACCTGTATTGACTGACATGTATTTATCTCAACTTTATTGTGATGATAGTCGAAGGGCAATCAATCAACAAATGTAATATAACTGTAACCACAAAACACTCCGCAACCGATTCTTAAGAGGAAATAAGCGCTGTTTACCTCTAAAATACTCTCCAAAGACAAGTCCTCATTAGCGATATGTAGTAGTAAATATACTGCATTTATCGAGAGTGTAGAAGAGCAGACTGAGCGCTTCCCCTGTCGCGCTTGGGATATGCGTCATCAATATGCGACGGAGCTTTTGGCGGTGCGAAAATAATAACGATGACAACTTACTGCCTGTATTTTTGTTATCGTATGCGTTGTTTTTATACGCTATCAATGTAATAACACTAGAAAAATGATTCACGAGTTGCTGTTGGCTTTGAGTGGATATCCTGGCACCATATTTACCTGGAACAAACGCAATGGATTGCAGGTATTTTGTGCAGTTCTGTCAGTGATTCATCTAAAATTGTAACTTATATGTATGAGCGTTTATGTGTATAACATACTGAATCATTTAGATAACGACTGTATGGAAAAGAACGACTATTTTTAAACCCGACTTAACGTTACAAGTGTTTTTTTTTTATATAATGTGAATGTACAAAACACCCCACTGTATCTCACGAAAATGGTCCGTAGTGGTATAAGTGTAATTGTAACCATAACGTTAGTTGTTTTATCATTATGTTTTATCGTTATAGTCACTATAATCAATTTGGGGTTGCTACATGGTCTTTTTGCTTCATGTGAAGTAACGTTAGGGTTACCCTGATAGGTACGTTTTTTGCAGAATACTATGGTATTAAAAATATTCATAAGGTGTATTACGATGGTGTATTATGCATACCCGGCATATGACAGCATCAAGTTTTCATATTGCAATAACTGTAGAATCTTTAATCATAATATTGACACAAGTTGTAAGAATGTCATTTTTTATCAGATATAATAACAAACGTGTATTAATATAAATATTTTGAGTAAACAAATGTGTCAAACTAATTAAATTGCAGAAATTTTATTACATTTAATAAGGTTCAATAGGTAAAAATTTTCAATAAGGTATTGTCAGTAAGTATTAGTTAATGCGTTACATGATGGTGTAAAAAAAACTTTTGTTTCAGAACAAAAAAAAGGGTTAAAAAAATCTGTTTTGTATTTATATTAGGCCTGTCACAATAATCAATATATCGAGTTATTGCACAACACATGGACATGACCTCAATCGTTTTTAGTGATGCAATATATAGTCCATAATTCAAAAACAATTCTAGCAACATTTTAGCTGATTTAGCTGAAGGTGTCAGTGTGATTAAAAAACACTAGTATTTTCATGTGGGTGTCTGACAACTGAAAATAGATCTGGGGCCTGTTTCAGAAAGGAGGTTAACTGAAAACTCAGAGTATTTTAACCCTGAAATGAGAGAAACTCTGGGTTTTCGGTTTCAAAATGGCAGGTTTGTTAAACTCGAGAAATCAGGGTAAGTCAAGCCTGTTTCTGAAAGAGAGTTAACTTTAACTCAGAGTCAGTTACTGTGGTAACTTACTCTGTGAATCTAACCTGGTCAGAAGCAGGTTTTATTCTCTAAACTCAGAGTTTCTGTCTGTCTCCTCCCCTTTTTTTAAAGATGAAGCGGTATTTCTCGCCTTAGCCTTACGTTTCCACCCACCTTTTTTAATGCTCATTTTGGATACGTGCATAAAAACGATTGATAGAAACGTCATGATGCACATAACTTTTTAAAATATGCATAAAAAACGCACATAACTGAGTAGGGTAAACTTTTATTCGATAGAAAATGTGCGCATAAACTACGATGGAAACACTTTTACTGAACAAATTACAGTATGTACATTAAAAAAAGATCATGATCATATGATAATGAAAATGTGTGTAAATGAACAAACCAGCAGGCTGGGCACACTGTAACACGTCTTAAATATTGTTTTAGTCATTCTAAAATGCCTTAACTGTTTCAGTATTAGTGTATATTATTAATTACCTCCGAACGTCTGGTGCATGTCAAGAGACTCCGCGTCTCATGGCTTCAGACGCCCCCACGTGTTCATTGTGTTTCAGCATTGTCTTCTGACATCGAGGCACAAGTACATTAATTAGGCTAAATAAAGAATTAATTGACGCAGCTTCTTCTACCACAGTAAATTCTGTTTTTACTGTTGATATTTGGTGCCAGTTAAATCAGGAAGTGACAATTTTTTTCTCTTTGACTCGTTGGATGGAATTTTATTCGCATCTTTTATGCAATATTCCAGTCTTGCACATAAATTTATGTAATATATTTGGATGGAAACATAGCTATTGCCTTTATTTTAGTCACACACAGAAGAACTGTACGAGAATGGCTTATGCTTTTTTAATAAATAATTAAATTGAATTCACCTTCGATATGCATGTAACTAGATTAATGGGATTATTATTCTTTCTAAAAATTATTTTTAGTACTGCTTACCTTCTAAATGTTATATTAACCTCTATCACTTGATCAATAAAAAAGGCAGACACACAAGTGCACTGTTAAATCATTTAAAACTAATAAATGTATAAAAGAAAGTTTAGAAAAAATATATAAACGTCACAAATTACATTACTTATTTTATTATACTTAAATATTTAAATACTTAAAAAGTTAAATTAGGCATTATCTTGAGCAGCTGTTTTCCCACGCTAACTGGTTGGTGGCTGCTTCTTTTCAAATATATACACTCATATTTGCTATAACTTTGCATGAGAACATTAAGTTCAGCTGGAGAAAGAAATGGTGATCTCTTTTATAAGATATTGCCATAGTCACTCGTAATGTCTGCGCTCCACTGATAATGCCTTTTTATAGTCACGGTGCGCGCGCTTAACTCTGAGTTGGTCTACTCGAAGTTGATTGACCCAACTCAGATCAGCTGTTCTGAAACCGAAAACTCTGAGTTTTTAATCTCTCGGTAAATCAACTCAGAGTTCAAGTTTAAACTCTGAGTTGTTTGAACCTCTTTACTGAAACAGGCCCCTGGTAGCAGATATCATTACTTTTTACCTTCATTAGCACTTTTTTGTTAACATTTAATATTAGTTATTTCGGATATGCGTTTTCACAGGTTCTTGCATTGTTGATGATATTGTATTGTCATTCTAGCATTATATAATGAGTATCATAAAATGGTCTTAAATGACAATATTATCGTTTATTGAATATATTTTGGGCGATGCAGTGGCGCAGTTGGCTGGGTCAGTTGGCGTTTCTGTGTGGAGTTTGCATGTTCTCCCTGCGTTTGCGTAGGTTTTCAACCGGGTGCTCCGGTTTCCCCCACAGTCCAAAGACATGTGGTGCAGGTTAATTGGGTAGGCAAAGTTGTCAATAGTGTATGAGTGTGTATGATTGTTTCCCAAAGATCGGTTGCAGCTGGAAGGGTATCCGCTGCATAAAACATGTGCTGGATAAGTTGGCAGTTCATTCCGCTGTGGTGACCCCGGATTAATAAAGGCATTAAGCCTTGTCAGCTTAGTCCCTTTATTAATCTGGGGTCGCCACAGCGGAATGAACTGCCAACTTATCTAGCACGTTTTTACGCTGTGGATGCCCTTCCAGCCACAACCAATCTCTGGAAAACATCCACACACAGTCATTCACACACACACTCATACACTACAGACAATTTAGCCTACCCAATTCACCTGTACCACATGTCTTTGGACTGTGGGGAAAACCGGAGCACCCGGAAGAAACCCACGCGAACGCAGGGATAATATGCAAACTCCACACAGAAATGCCAACTGAGCCGAGGCTCGAACCAGCGACCTTCTTGCTGCGAGGCGACAGCACTACCTACTGCGCCACTGTGTCGCCAATTTTCACCCAATAGTCACTATTTAATAGTCATTTAAAATTTTATAACCATGATGAAGTGTTGTTGATGATGACAGGTGTCCCAGGACCTGCCGTTCCTTCACCCTAGCGAAACCAGTGTCCTTAATCGATTATGTAAAATGGGCACTGACTACGTGCGCTTCACAGAATTCATAGAGCAACACACGGGTCATGTTCATCAACAGGTAATCTGCATTTACTCTGCATACAGTGTGTTAATAACATAGTAAGCACATAATAGCAGAAGATTTCTTCTTGTCTGACAGGAGCACTATTCCAGTCAGCCGAGTCAGTCTGGGCTTCATGGCATTTACCTGCGGGCCTTCTGTACTGGCCTCCACTCTATGCTGCAGCCTTATCGGCAGGCTTTACTGGACCTTGAAAAAGAGGTTTCACATTTGGAGTTTACACATTAAGTATTTATGCTGGTATTTGCAGATTATGTTGGACATTAAATATGAATAATTTGCTTAACAGTTTCTTGGTGATCCACACCTCTCTATTTCTCATGTCAACTACATGCTGGAACAGGTAAAAAAACAACTCATGCACCCAATCATCTGATACATGCTTAATTGTCTGATTCATGCTTTCAAGCTAAAGTTCAAAAGTTCAAGTTCAAAAGTTTAAGTTAAATAAATAACTCTCTTAAAACCACTTTATTTACATATGCGTAAACCATTATTTTCTGTCTTGTAACACAAATCCATTTTTAATTAGTTTAGTATATTTATTATATTTTTATATTTTAAATTATAAGCCCCCCTTTTTCCCTAATTTGTTTAACGGAGAGACAATTTTTTCAACACAATAATAGTTTTCAACAATAATAGTTTTAATAAACTTATTTCTAATAAATGATTTATTTTGTATTTGCCATGATGACAGTAAATAATGTTTTATTTTTATACAGACACTTCTATACAGCTTAAAGTGTTCTGTAGACTATCGACAACAATATTATCAGACATACTGTGAAAATTTTCTTGCTCTGTTAAACATATTTGTAAAGCAAAAAGAATTAAATGGGGGGAGGCTAATAATTCTGACTAATATATAAATATATATACAGACACACACACACACACACAAACAAAATTGATTAAAATGGATTTGTGTTACAAGAAAAAAAATAATGGATTATACAATAATATTAGTCCACACAATATACTTGATATTAACAATAATGATCATTTATAAAATGATGAGAATAATAATGATTACTTTGATTCACTTTTACATCAAATATTTATATAAAACAATATATAAAACAATGAAATAGAAATAGATATATTATTTTATTTTTTATTTTATTTATTTTGTTTTTCATGAAGGCTGTACACATTTGGGATACAACAGTTGTCATTAGGGTCAATTGACCATCCATAAAACCATTTCTACACCAGAAAAACTACACTTGTTTCATCATGCAAAATAGATTTGAGGATTGAAATGAAATTTATCTGCTTTATGTTAGAGGTTTAGTGAGGGTGGGTGATTTCTAAACTAGAAGGGTAAATTCTAAGACATCAGGAGGATTAAATGCACCACGTTTTGACCCCACAGTATATTTCTAACTTGGAGTTTTCCCTCTGTTGTTTTTATTCAGTTTCAGCTTCTCTTCCCATCTGTTATGGTTGTTGTTGAGACCATCAAGTCTCAGAAGGTTTGTATCTTAATGGGTGCCACTGGTTTGCAATGCATGATTACAAGAGTGCGTGGTTAAAAATAATAACCTTCTGAAAGTTTAGTTTTTCTATTCAATAGATTCATGGCTGTCAGATCCTGGAGACTGTATACAAGCACAGCTGTGGAGGACTGCCTCCTGTCAGGATGGCCTTGGAGAAGTGAGCACTCAGAAACACGCGCATCTAAACAGATGTATTTCTTAAACGAAAGACTCAGACTGCTATTTTTACTGTTCTAATGGTAGTGTCTGTGTCGCAGGATTCTTGCCGTGTGCCATGGCGTGATGTATAAGCAGCTGGCGGCGTGGATGCTGCACGGGCTGCTGCTAGACCAGAGCGAGGAGTTTTTCGTCAAGCAGGGCCCCAGTGCTGGCGGAGCCACTGCTGCACAGGAGGAGGATGAGGAAGACCTGGGCATCGGAGGCCTGAGTGGGAAACAGCTCAGAGAACTGCAGGATTTGGTGAGTGAATGATATGAAGCTGAACGTCACTTCCTGAGATTCTGTGTTTGTTATTTTGATAGAACTAAGACGGTCATTAAATAATCATTTTCATTTATGTTTTTATTTACATTTTCGTTGTTGATTATATTTTACTATCTTATTTTATGCCTCAATTATTGTACATAATAATAAACAAATATTGGAAAATAAATGAATAATGAAAATAGGCCTAAATAATTATTTATTTAAAGACATTGCAGCTAAACACTGAGAAACGGTCCGGCATGGTCTAAAGAGCTTAAGTTGAATGCTGCTTCATCAAAAGTATAAAAATTAATTTACCTTCCTTGAAGCAGTTCACTAAAAGTATAATAAAAATAAATTAAATATAATTTATTTATATAAAAATATAAAAGTCCCGCAAATTAAATATATTAAGTCCCGCAAGTTTATTTTTAATTTTAATTTTGTAATTTAGTTTTTATATCCACAATGAATATATACAATTTTTACAATCATATAGAAAAATACTCTAAACAGCTATTACCTGCCCCCATCCCCCTACCCTGTAATATGCACAACAGGAAACACGTAGTAAGTAAATAAATTACATTAAATTTGACTTTCATATTATCATATGTGGGTTAAGTGTCTAATATTTCTTTGATATCACAAATATAGATTTTCCACATAGTCAAAATGTCCAGTTTAGCATGGTTGATCTGTGCTGATTATAGTTCTAGGTACAGTATTTCCAATAGTGACTGCAACCAGTGCTTAACACTGAAGAGGTTTCCACCTCTTTACCAATATTTTAATTGTAGCAGTTTGAAGCAGCTAACCAAAATGTACAGACCTTTGCATTTAAGGGAAATTGAGAGTTATCATTCAACAATAACAATAACAATACCTTATCTTTGGGGAAATAATTTTTTGTACTTTTGAATAAAATGTCCAGAACAGGATCCCACAGTTTTTGCACCTCCGGACTTAAAAAGGTATCTGGATGCTTTAGTTCACAAAACTTACAATAAGGATGTGAAGATAAACCTATGATACGTCATATACGTGCAGTTAAATTTGTGACTAAGTTTTGAAGTGAATAAACTGGTGATTAGGATTTGTAGAAGCGTGGAATGTTTTATCCCACACTGTTTCTCAATCAATAGTTTTATTGGGTGGAAACAGATCAGATAGCGATAGTCCTTCTTTTGAAAAAGTATATTAGAAAAACAGCAGTAGAGATAGGAGGCCGCTTTTTTCTTTTTTTTTTTTTTGGAGTATTATAGATTTATTTCACAATCGGATGGGTGTGAAGATCTGTACCCCAAAAATAACTGCTTTTCAATGGCCATCATCAGAGAAAGTCCCTTTTTGATTGCTAAATTCGGTCAGCTTGTACACTCAAACTAAAAGTACTTTACTATTTTGCCTGTGATTTTATTGTTATCTATCGTTTTTTATTATTATTATTTAACCGAGTCCTTTTTAATGTTGTCCCTCTGTAGAGACTGATTGAGGAAGAGAACATGCTGGCACCTTCCCTCCAGCAGTTCTCCCTGCGTGTGGAGATGCTTCCCTCATACATCCCTGTTCGAGTAGCTGAAAAGATTCTTTTTGTTGGGGAGTCTGTGCAAATGTTTGAAAACCACAACCAGAGCCCATCGCGAGCTGGTGAGTGCTTTAGCATTTTGCCGCTGTTGTTCAGGTGTGTTTGCAATGGGTTTTGTATGCTAACACTGCCCTCGTGTGGTGGCTCAGGGTCTATACTGAAGCATCAGGAGGACATGTTTGCAGCCGAGCTCCACAGACTCAAACAGCAGCCTCTCTTTAGCCTGGTGGACTTTGAAAATCTGGTGGATGGCATACGGAGCACAGTTGCTGAGGTTAGTCCAGTCAGTTTATTGGTACAAGCATGAACCCCACAAAGCATGTATATGAAATTTCCATATCATGTATATAACAGCACTACCAAAAGCACCAGGTGAAGTCTGTGTCTTTTTTTCTTGCAGCACTTATGGACTTTAATGGTAGAAGAATCTGATCTTTTGGGGCAGCTCAAGGTAAATAAAAAGTAGTTTTTTGACGATACACTTACTGGTGCAAGTTTGCCAACACTAGGCATGGGCCGGGATAAGTTTCTCATGGTAGGATAACCTTGGTATTGTGAGTACTGTTTTAAAATAGGTTATTTTACATTTTAAACATTATTTTAAATGTCTGGGTGAAAAACTAAAACATTTTCTCCTTTAAACACAATATTTTTTTTTATTTTTAAAAATGTTTGCAGTATTTTGTAACTAAACATGACAGGCTAAATAATTCAAGTGAATCATTGACTTATGCTGTCTTCATTCAAAAACACAGATTTCTTTACTATTTAAAACAGCATTTTTGGAGATCTTTCCAACTGGAGATACTGGTGTCCTAAAAAAAAAGGAAATAAAAAATCTTACACACACTTTAGGAATGGTATAGTAGAAAATTTTGACACTTTTAAAACCAATTTTTTTTACCAACCGTGGTATACTTTGAAAACGGTTATCGTCCCATGCCTAGCTAACACAATAGTGTTTTTCACTCTGCACTTTACCCAAGATTATGGTTGACACTTCTTTACTTTTTAGTGTGTGTTTGACAAAGACATTGTGTTTAGACAAGTTGCAACCCTATAGGATTGTTTTTGTATGAAACAGTCATGTTTTTGTTGTTTTTTTAAACAATTGTCATACCAGTTAAGACCACAGACAGTTACATAAAAAAATAAGAATAATACAGCAATAAAATAATATGGTTATATACTTTAATTTCCATTAATTAAAAAAAATGTCACCATCTAGACCAGGGGTCACCAATCTTGGTCCTGGAGGGCCGGTGTCTGTTGAAATCTGCTGGACACAAGCTATTACATTTTTTAGCTTCCTGCAAGTGTGTGTGCGTGTGTGCGTGCGTTTGTGTGTGTGTGTAACATTTTTACATGTGATCTATTCACTCTCTTTTTTTTACATGCAATCTAATCTACACTGATCCAAAAGTCTTGTAACACTTTCAGAACATGCGCTAGGGCGTTCATTACTGTAAAACACCTGAAACACAGATGCATCTGTTTTGGAGTAGCGTTGTCTCTTAATTGACAACATATCTCATTGATGGTGGGTAAAGTGTTATGTACAGAAATAGTCCTAGGGTGCAAGCATTCTTTCAACATACCCGGTGCAAATTCAAGGCACTGACATGTTCTGGAGGTCTTCTACTCTTTTCAGGGATGTAAAAGCAAGAATAAAGACCATTTTTAAGAAATATCTGATTTTGTAATGGACCAAACTTGTTGTTTTTGAAAAAAAACTGTGGAAAGACCATCCAACTAAAATAAAAAAACACAATCAGGGAAAATTCTCACAAACATAGCCATGCATGAGGAAAAAACAAATTGAAAAATGTGTTTTCTCCCAAGGATTAAACAAAACAGAATTTCCATTTGGTCAAATTGGATCCCACACCTTGAGGTGTGTAGTGTTCATTTGCTAGGTCTGCCCTCATCTGGATATATGCTTCAAAATTTTGTCAAGGAAGCTTGAGTGCTCTCCTTGAGAATCCGGTGTGCCAGTTTGCAAAGTCTTTCAATGATAGAAACATAGCCGACATCTCCTGGCAACATCTTAGCTAGCTCTTTCCAACGCTCACATGATCGCCCACTGAAGCTAATCAGGGCTGCGCTGGGTCAGTACCTGGATGGGAGACTACATGGAAAAGCTAGGTTGCTGCCAGAAGTGGTGTTGGTGAGGCCTGCGGTCTGTGTGGGTCCTAATGCCCCAATATAGTGATGGGCACTCTATACTGCTCAGTGAGTGCTGTTTTTTGGATGAGACGTTAAACTGAGGTCCTGAATCTCTGTGGTCATTAAAAATAACAGTATTTCCTTCGAAAAAGAGTAGGGGTTTTGGCCAAATTTGCCCACTGGGCTCTGTCCATCATGGCCTCCTAACCCTCCCCATACCATAATTGGCTTGATTACTCTGTTTCCTCGCCACCGTGTGTGTGGTCTGGTGTAAAATGGCTGCCAACGCGTCATCCAGGTGGATGCTGCACACTGGTGGTGGATGAGGAGATTCCCCCTATGTGTAAAGCGCTATATAAATGTAAGGAATTATTATTATTATTATTACGAAAGAGGCTGCTTTGTTCATAGGCCCTGGATTGAGCGTGAACATGACCACTTCCTGCCAGAGGCACACAACTGTGGGAATGATCCATTCATTTTTAGCATATGAGAACCAAACTACATTCTGTAGCCTCTTTCTACACTTTGCAGGACCAATAAGACCCATTTGGCAGAAGTTTCTATGCTGCCAGATGATTTACTTAGGGAAGAGGCATGTTCTGTGGCATATTCTGACTCCTAAAGAAGTAGACTTGCAGAGATCAGCCGAGGTGGTCGCTCTGAAACTGTCCTTAGAGATTGGGAAAATCTCAGTGAGTTGAACTTGCTGACTACTGCTGCACACTGAAGCATGCAATGTGTTGTAATTGCTCTTCCTCTGTCTGATCCTTCTGGCATTAAATCTTTGCCATTGCTGAGAGTAAAAGTCCTCGGATTCTGTCTAAAAATACTGCGCAATGACTTCTGATGTCTTCTCATTTCCATGAAGAGACTGATCTGCAGCCTGACACAACTCCTCAATACCTTCAAGTCACATATTTGTCCCTTCTTGCTACCAAGAAGATGATGACCAAAGCCCCATCCCCTTCCCTTTGTCCTTGTTCTAAGCAATCAATGTTGCATTTCACTAATGAGTGTTCAGTTGGCTACAACTGCATTGCACCACACTAAATCCAGAAAGACAATTCTGGGTTCAGCATGTGGGGGACCCATCCATTCCCTCTGCTGAATACATCTGCGATCCTCGTTACTACATCCTCCACTGTACAACAATAACAACAACAAAACCGGAACCCAAGTCGCAAAGTCTGTGAGCCTGTGCACCCTTCCCAATGTGCAACAAATAGAAGTGGAGCACACACTTGAGTAGGTATTCGGTGTGCACAGTCAGTCCTCTTGAGAGCTCACCAGGCATCTCTTCTCCTAGATAAGTAGCACATAAATTGTGTGTATTCCTGATTTATATACATGTGTGAAAAAACCCAACAGTTCGGCTAAAAATGCACAGAGAGTGCTTGCCAAAGACCCAGAAGCTAATGCTCTTTCAAATTTTTGCTCCTTGTCCTTTTGTCACCCTGCCTGTGATGTCACATCACACCATTAGGCAAGGCAAGGCAAGGCAAGTTTATTTATATAGCACATTTCATACACAGTGGCAATTCAAAGTGCTTTACATAAACAGGAATAAAAAAGACAAGTTTAGGACATAAAATGCAGACAATAAAAATGATTAAAAACAGATAAAAACAATTTTAAAATGTGTTAAAATAGGTTATAAAAGAATGAAAAAGAAAATGAAAAACATAATAGTGCAATCTGTCGGACTTAGCACAGTGCTCATACAGTAAAGGCACAGCTAAACAGATGTGTTTTCAGTCTTGATTTTAACATGCCTAATGTTGGTGCACATCTGATCATTTCTGGAAGCTGATTCCAGCAGCGAGGGGCGTAGTGGCTGAAGGCAGATTCACCCTGCTTTGACTGAACTCTTGGAATTTCTAGTTTATATGATCCTAAAGATCTGAGTGATCTGTTGGGTTTGTATTTAGTGAGCATATCTGTAATGTATTGAGGTCCTAGGCCATTTAGTGATTTATAGACCAGTAATAATACTTTAAAATCTATTCTGAATGTAACTGGGAGCCTCTGCATTGGCAGAGGGTGTCAATGGGGCTGTAGTCATTAGGCAGTAAGGCTAGGAAGATCTGAGTGTCATCAGCATAGCTGTGGTAGGAGATTTGGTTCTTTCTCATTATTTGTCTCAGGGGGAGCATGTCATCGTCGCGCAGCACTTTGTGAGCCGCTTGCTGAAATGCCACATTGACATCTGAAAAAAAATTCAGATGTCATTAGATGGCTTAACACATTTATCAAGATACCAAAATACAGAAATGTTTCCATAGCACCACAATTTGTGATGCATCATGAGATCCCTCCAAAAAAGGAATCCATTCTCATATTAGTAAATGCTTTTATCTAAAGCGAATCTCTCCCTCTCTCACACACACACCTCCACACCCCCGAGGCAGTGAGCGGTTTGGTGCCTTGCCAAAGGGGCTCACCTCATCCATAGTATTGAGGGTGGAAGAAAGTGCAGGAAATTCATTCGATGCACCTACAATCCCTGCTGGTTTCATGACTCCGATGTGCAATTTAGATCTCTAATGTCTATTCTAACAGTGAAAACCCATAATGAATGGTCTGTTGTTATTGTTTTAGATCATAAAGGACTTTTTCTTGTTGGGGCGAGGTGAACTCTACCAGGTCTTCATTGACCTTGCTCAGCATATGCTGAAAACCCCACCTTCTGCTGTTACTGAACATGGTATTAATACAACTTACTTTATAAACCATAAACTTTTCTCCATTTCTCTAAATATATCACAATTTTTTTTCCAGATGTCAATGTGGCATTTCAGCAAGCGGCTCACAAAGTGCTGCTCGACGATGACAATCTTTTGCCACTCCTCCACCTCACCATAGACTACCATGGAAAAGAAAGCAAAGGTATTTCTGACTGACAAGCATTTTCATCTACATATGAAATACACATCATTTAATCCTTGTGGTTGTAGAGGGTTCTGGGAATCGAGAGGGCACCACTCCACCTCAGGAGAGCTCTCCTCGTGAAGCTCCGCCCACTGGCTGGGCTGCACTGGGATTGGCTTACAAGGTTCAGTGGCCTCTGCATATTCTTTTCACTCCTGCTGTGTTGGAGAAGTAGGTCATCATTTTATGTTATTATTAGTTTCATATTATTATTTAGCATGAATATAATAACTATTTATCATTAACTACATGACTACAGGTATAATGTAGTGTTCCGGTACCTGCTGAGTGTGCGTCGAGTCCAGTCCGAGTTGCAGCACTGCTGGGCTTTGCAGATGCAGCGCAAGCATCTCAAATCAAACCAGACGGATGCAGTAAAATGGAGACTCCGCAACCATATGGCCTTCCTAGTGGACAACCTTCAGTATTACCTTCAGGTTACTGCTAGAATTATTTATTTAGTCAAAAATTAATCCTCCTTTGCTGGTGATGCTAATATGCCTACACTACTATTACAAAGTTACAAGGAATCAGAAGGATTTGTTTGGTAAACTTCAAAAACATTGGTAAACATTAGTTGATTATATAGTTAAAGTGAACTAACATTGGAATATGTGTTCAGACTTTCAGCTAAATTCTTGATTTTTGTATATTGTGACAGATGATATAAAAAGTGATCGTAAAACATTTATTTTTTTTACATATTTGTTTCGAATACTTTCTATTCATCCAGGAATCCTTAAAATGTATAAAGCTACACAACCTTTTTTTTTTTTACATTTGATAATAATAACAAGAAATGTTACTTGAGCAGCAAGTCAGGATATTGCTTTATGCTTTCAGGATATGCTTTTCTTAAGGATTTTAAGGTTCTGTCTCTTTGGTTTATTCTTGTTTTTGTGACAGAGCTCAGACACTGCTTCTGTCTTGTCTCTGTTAGGGATGTAGTGTGTATAAATGTAATTTATTTCTGCGATGGTAGACATCTTAGGATAGAAGTGAGTTTATGCGGTTTTAGGCATGCGGTATGCTTAATAGGTTACTATTATTTTATGTAATCTTTTATAACTATATGAAGATCCTACAAAGTCATAATAACAAAGCATCTTGATACTGTATCATCAACAATTCACATAATGTGAAATAATGAAAACAAAGATTCATTGATTTAATTAAAAACTTTAAACAAGTCTGAAACCAAAGAATAGTTTCAACTTTCTTAAATTGTGGTGGAAACTAGGGCTGGGCGATAAGGCAAAAGTGCCATCTCCATAATTATTTTTCATATTTAACGATATATATTTTGATATGAATTGTTAATGCTTTCAGATTTAAAAGAGAACAACAAAAATGACTGAAACCACAAAAATTTGAGGGTCTATTAAATGCCAAAACATATTTTTGGGCCAATAAATTTTCAGTGGCCGGTGCATCTCTAATATCAACACACTTTTAGATTCTCATTGCTGCTGTGTAATTGGCTCCTAGATCAATATAGACTTAAAAAGAAGTTCATAGCTCGTTGTTATTGGCATAAATTTTTATCACAATTCGATATCATATGGTTTATCAGCCCAGCCCTACTGCAAACCAATTATTTATGTTCAGTTTGCAGTTAATTATGAATATTTTAACAGAAAAAGAACAGTGTATGTATGAAAGTCTCAATATGTATATGTAAATTATTTTGACTTCTCCATTGCTCAGGTGGATGTTCTGGAGTCCCAGTTTTCTCAGCTTTTACAGCAGATCAACTCCACAAGAGATTTTGAAAGTATCCGACTGGCCCATGACCATTTCCTCAGCAATCTGCTGGCACAGTCTTTTATTCTACTCAAACCTGTGAGTCTCTAGCACAAACTCTTTAACTCATTTCAACCAGGGTGTATTCTGCATTTGGTTAAGTCATAATTTGATTTCTCTTGCAGGTGTTCCACTGTCTGAATGAAATTTTGGATCTTTGTCACAACTTTTGTTCTTTGGTCAGTCAGAATCTTGGGTCTCTGGATGAGCGAGGAACAGCTCAGCTGGACATTCTTGTGAAGGTAGGGTTAAATGTATTTTCATTTCATTTTTTTGTAAAACCTGCTTTGGTATAGCTTAATTATGACACAAATACTAGTAACAGACAGCCTTAATTGCAAAAAAATATATATATACTAAATTGAGAATGACAGAATATCGAACAGAAGTCATAATTATGACATAGTGAAAGTTAATTAGATCCACACAGAAATTGGCTGATTTTTAGGCCATTGAGTCTTTTTTTTTTCTTTATGTAAACCAGGGTATCTTAAAGTCTTAAATCTCAAAAGCTAAATTTTAGGCCTTAAAGTCTTAAATCTACTGAAATGTTGTGTTGTAGGTCTGAAATCTTTTTTTAACAGGTCTTAATTTTCCTTTTATCTATATAGCTACCCATTCTGGCCATTAACACCCATACAATCCCAATAAAACTTTTAATTTAAAAACGGCATTACCTTGCAGTAACATTTGTTTAAAAATTCTACATTTATTTACTGCTGAGGATACTGACCTGACCTACATTTTTTATTATTAAATAATTATTAATAAATTATAATGTATTATTATAATTAATATCATATTTAATATCATATTCAGGGCAAGTGAAAATCTTTTCCCACTGGGATATTCGAGAAAAAAAATCCTTAGCATTTAGCCCTGTATAAGTCTAAAATTCAATTCATAATGGTCTTAAAAATGTCTTAATCTTAAATTTAACTTGGTGAAATCAACAGAAACCCTGGTAAATGTGTGTAGATTTATATTCATTTAGTTTGAAATAAATGTCAGTAATATTATTGACTAATACGAGTGTTCATATGATTTATTTACAATACAGAGTTTGTAAAGAAATATTTTCTGTTTTAGTTGATCTATTATTTAAGAGACTTGCTTTGTTTACCAAATAATTAGATTTGCATGGTAAACATTAAATAAAAGTTTTTTCAATTTCATTTATTAAGTTTTTAGTTACGATACTCCCAAAATCATTCAACATAAATTCACAAATTTTACAAATTTATGTGCAGAAAAAGCAAAAAAATATATATCTGCAGGTTCTGTCTGGCCCTTGTTATTAAAGGGATAGTTACTCAAAAATAAACATTAACTCACCATTTTACTCTCCATTGGTTCCAAACCTGTTTGAGTTTCTCTCTTCTGTTGAATACAAAAGAAGATATTTTGAGAATGTAAGAAACTGGTAACCATTTACTTCTATAATAGCAAATACTATGGAAGTCAATGGTTACCAGTTTGCACCATCCTTCAAAATATCTTTTGTGTTCAACAGAAGAGTAAAAAAAAAAAAAAAAAAAAAAAAAAAAAAAAAAATTCTGGCTCAATTATAATTGAAAAAGTAAAGGTTATGACATTTTAAAGTTAAAAGGTCATAGAGAGCTGATATAAAATTCCATTAATATTAAATAAAAAAAAGCTTTTTTGTTAGAGAAACGGGCTTTCAATAATTTTAAAATCAACACTTGAATGATGATTTAATCAGAATCATGCCCTAATGCAAAGGTGTCAAACTCAGTTTCAAAAGGGCCGCAGCTCTGCACAGTTTAGCTCCAACCCTAATTAAACACACCTATTCAAACTAATTGAGTCCTTCAGGCTTGTTTGAAACCTACAGGTAAGTGTGTTGGGAGTATGGTTGGAACTAAACTGTGCAGGGCTTCGGCCCTCCAGGAATTGAGTTTAACACCCCTGCCCTAATGTCTTACCATTGTATCTTTTCCTTTGTCTATTGGCAGGAATAGGCTTTGATGGGTATTACGATGGTGTTTTCTTTTATTTTAAAGGGTTTCAGTCGTCAGTCTTTTCTGCTCTTCAAGATTCTTTCCAGTGTTCGTAACCACCAGATAAACTCTGACTTGGCACAGCTCCTGTTAAGATTAGACTACAACAAATACTACACACAGGCAGGAGGCACACTGGGCAGGTAGGCATGAGGGAAGCACTGCTTTAATGACCTGATTCAAGCTTAAAAAGTCTAAGTTATGTCATTTGCTGTCCTACAGTTTTGGCTTATAAAGTTGATCCTGAAGATCTGGACACCAGCTTCAGCCAATGGTTTGTTTCATCGTATTAAACATCATCATTATTATTAAAAGATGAATCTGGATTTGTACATTAATATATAATAAGCCTCTTGGTACCATTATTTGCTTTCTATTATATCTGTTATGAAATAAAACAGACAAGTGAAACACATTTTTTTTTATTGAATAAAAACTATGTACAGAAAGGCATGCACTAAAACACTGAGGACATTTAAAAGAGACGAGAGGATGATGGTTTTACGTAGATGTGTTGTGGCAGAATTCAGAATTGCTGTCGAAGTTGAGGCACTTTCCACAGATCAAGCTCTGAATCAGCCACTCCAGAGAGACAACAGGCATGTCTGAGGCCACACGCTTCACTTCCTCTGATGTACATGCTGATGATGTCACTGCCACATCAAACTTCACATCTGGAATGTCTGTTAGGGATAAAATTGACATTGTGATATTTCAAAGATGGGAGAGTTTTTCAATCAAAAATGAAGATTCTGTCATCGTTTACTCATCCTACACTTGTTCGACTGTTTGGAAGAATAACAAATGTTGCAAAAAAAAAAAAGCTATTGTCTTGTAATATTTCACTATTGACTCAATAATATTTTTGTTCCAACTATGGAGGTCAGTGTTTTTTTTTTTTTTTCAAAATATAATGTTTTGCATTTAGCAGAAGAAAATAAATTTTTAGGGTAACAATCCCTTTAACGGTCCAAGTCATCTGAAAAAATAAAAACAACTATCACCTCCACTTGTTTGAAACCTATTTAAGTTTGTTTAATCTGTTGAACAAAAAAAAAAGATATTTGGAAGAATGTTAGAAACGGGTCCATTGACTTTTATAGTCCCACATCAATGACTCTGTTAGCAACAATCTGTGTGTGTGTTTTGTGTTCTACAGAAGAAACTCAAACAGGTTTGATGAAGTAGCGGCTGAGTAAATTATTTCAGAAATTAACAAACTGTTTAATTAAAGCTCTATTGATTTTGTCAAATTAACTAAGGTTTCCTGTTACATACCAGAAATGTTTTGACTTTCTTGGCGATACACTTTTTCTGCACCACCCATTGAAAGCAAAGATGTCCACAAATCCACCCGATCTTCTGCTATCAGCATCACCTTCAGAGCTTTGAAGGGATTCGAGCGAGGATGCCTGAGGAAAGAGAACATCAGAAAAACAACATTTATTCCAAGACAATTTAAGCATTTTTTTTCACAGAGGCAGCAAAAATAGCAGAACAAGTGGAGCAAAACATTGATTAATAAATCAACCTAAAATTAATTATTTTCCACACATAGTGGAAAAAAACATGTGCATAAGAAATTTCATATCTTTTAGTTTTTCCAAAAACTGCTTAAAGTTACAGACTAACTCTTCCCCCAAACACTAAAATATGAGACAACTGTTACTGTAAATACTATTGTTCTTCCTCACTATTTTGTCTTTTTTAAATGTTAAGGATTACATAAGGTTTGGACATTGAAACAAACACTGGTCAATTTTAGTGTTGCTTGTTTCATGGTTGAATTTGAGCATTGATTTCACATTTCACCAGTAAAAGCAGTGTGAAGGTTTAATTAGCAGAGCAATAGCAGTTTTGCTTAAAATATTGCAATGCACACAGCATTGTGTGACATTAGAGTTCAAATGGATGACAAATTGTTGGCGTGCGTCACTCTAATGCAGTGGTCACCAAACTTGTTCCTGGAGGGCCGGTGTCCTGCACATTTTAGCTCCAACCCTAATCAAACACACCTGATCAAGCTAATCAAGGTCTTGCTAGGTATACTTGAAACATCCAGGCAGGTGTGTTGAGGCAAGTTGGAGCTAAACCCTGCAGGGACACCGGCCCTCCAGGACCGAGATTGGTGACCCCTGCTCTAATGCATCTGTGACCAAGACAACAAGTTATTGTGATTTATCAAAAGTACCACATCCAACATAAGTAACTGTGGACGCAAGAGGAAGCTGTCTGAAAGGGATGTTCACGTACTGACCCAGATTGTATCAAAAAAAAGCTGCCAAACTCACTGCAGAACTAAATGTGCAGCTCAACTCTCCTGTTTCCACCAAAACTGTTGGTCGGAAGCTCCACAGGGACAATATACAGGGTCAGGCTTCTATAGCCCAACTTTTGGTCACTCGTGCCAATACTAAATGGTGGTTTCAGTGGTACCAGCAGTGAAAATCTTGGCCTGTGGACAATGTGAAAGATGTATTGGTCTCTGATGAGTCTACCTTAACTGTCTTTCCCACATCTGGAAGAGTAATGGTATAGAGCAGGGGTCACTAATCTCGGTCCTGGAGGGCCGGTGTCCCTGCAGGATTTAGCTCCAACTTGCCTCAACACACCAGCCTGGATGTTTCAAGTATACCAAGTAAGACCTTGATTAGCTAATTCAGGTGTGTTTGATTAGGATTGGAGCTAAAATGTGCAGGACACCGGCCCTCCAGGAACAAGTTTGGTGACCACTGGTGTAGAGGCTCCCCAAATAAAAGTGCAACCTAGACTGTTGCATGCCCAGAGTGAAGCATTGGGGTGGATCATTGATGGTTTGGGCTGCAATATTATGGCATTCCCTGGGTCCAATATTTATTACTACCTGCCTTCATTGAACATGTCATCATTACCAAACATGTTTATACTGTACGGTAAAGCCGGACGTTTTCTTTTCATGGTTCAAGTGACCAAATTCTACACAGGGATTAAAACAACTTTTCATATTGTCATGTAGCACAAGTATTTTAGCATGTTTACGAAAGCGCAACATCCGCCACGTAAGCAATATAAAATAATACTGTTGCACACGTCACGTGCACAAATCACACCATGGACATTACATTAAGATGCCTACTGGTTAAAAAAGGCCTAAATTAAAAGAAGATGGCCAAGTGATAACTTTTCTACCATTAACAATAGTAAATCAACTTGTCTTAAAGAAAATAAAAAAATTAAACGAGCAAACAGAATAAATACAGGAATGGAGAAAACAGCGCTCTTTTTTTCTCCCTGGTCATTGCACCTTTTGCCATGTGCTGTGTAAACGCAGTCAATCGGATACGAGTCACCTTTAAAGATGAGGTCAGTTCATCAAAACAAATATATAAAAATCGGATACTGTCACAAAATCCGAACTGACCATCAAGATCTGCAATGTAAATACACTGTATTCTATAGGGGAAAAGCTAGTCAGCAGAGTTTGCTATTTTCAATGTATTTATTAACAATTATCTTGCAGCGTTTCCATGTTCATTACATAGAATTCAATATAAACTAATATAAAACTATTGCATACATACAATTATGGGAATAATTATGGAAATTGCATACATAAAAAAATGGAAGTAAATTCATTAAAAATTGATTTTAAAAAATGCCTAAATTGTTTTGCATGTTGTGATTTTTTTTATAAATATATATATACATATATATATATATATATATATATATATATATATATATATATATATATATATATATATATATATATATATATTAGTAAAATATTTGAATTCTAAGACTATTCCATTCATATGTTTCATCACAAAGTATTTCTTTAAAATAGTGCAAAAATCTTGTCTCATTCTCAAGAATCCAGTCTCGTCTCATGGAGTAGGCGCCTCGTCACAACTCTAATATAGATACTGCACTCCTGTGGAACTTAAATTCTTTTTGAAATATTTCTCCTTATATCCTAATTTTTAATAACTAATTACTTTTGTCTTTGCCATGATGGCAGTACATAATATTTTACTAGCTTAAATTTTGCAAGACACTATTATTTAGCTTTCAGAGGCTTAATTAAAATACTTCATTAGGTTAACTAGGCAAGCTAGGTTAATTTTAAAAGTCATTGGACAACAGTGGTTTGTTCTGTCAAATCGAAAAAAAAAATTCTTAGAGGGGCTAATAAAAATAATCTTTAAAATTGTATACATAAATGTATAATAACATAGTTTTCATTCCAAACAAAAAAAACTGTAAAATGTCTGGTAATGCAATTCAGTGAAAACTGTTATATTAGTTTTTTAGTCTTATATTAGACTCTGATGCAGAGAGAGAGAGAGTAAGTCCTAAAAATTGAATAAATTAAAAAAAAGTTTAGGAGTTGTATCCAAACAAGAGCAGCTCTCACCACTCCACGATGCGTCCCCCAGGCCCCAGGCCAGCAGGAAGCAGGTAGTTTCTGTAGTTGAGCAGCTTCTTCTCTTGGCAGCAGTCCCTCACCCACATTTGAGACACACATGGGACTCCACCTGCCACACACAGCAGGTACTTCCTGGTCCGACAGTGCTGGTCGGCAATCAGCAAGCTCTGATAGGCTGCTTTACACTGACCATGCAGAAAACACACACACACACACATCAAAACATGCACACGCAGCAGAATCTGTGTAAGGAGTGTGTTGAATACAAGTTTACCTGTTCTTCATTGAAGTCAAGCAGGATCATTCCTCCACCCGCCTCCAGCTGTGACACCGTATAGTGTTTGTTGTATGGAGCTCTCTGCACATACTCTGACGAGAGAAACTCATTTTTTAGGAAACTGTTGCATCATCACATGCAAACAAGAAATGTTCTCTTACATTAAAGGGCTTTTATTATGCTTTTTCCTTTTTTGAATGTGTTAGTCAGTGTGCAGTGTATGTTTGAGAATTAAAAAAGATCTAAACATTTACAAATTTCAAAGTCCACTCCAAAAGAAGATACTTTAGGTTTTTTTATAGGGCTTTACGGATGTTAGTAAATCTGCCCTAATCTCGCCTATAAAACAATCAAATGAAAGGTATTTTAATGCAAATTATGCAGAACATAATGCATTTTTCAAACCACCAAGCATGAAATTATGTTCTAGAAAAAAACGAAAAATGGAATAAACCCTTTAACATGAGCAAAAAAGGACCCTTTTAATATGTAATTAAAGTATTACTAAACACAAGTGTTCATGTATTTCCCCAAAATAAAAGCATATTGTTAAAACGGAAAGGTTATAATGGGTATTTCTGATAT